GACCATTTTAGCTGTTGTATTAGTGTTGCTTTTGATTTGACCTTGTTCCACTCGATGGCCTTAACAAGTTCATCCCATATTGAATAGTCCAAAGGATTTAAATCAGGACTATTTGGAGGTCAGCGATCCTTGTCAATAAATGATGGGAAATTGTTCCGACACCATTGTTGCGTTAAATGACGTTGATGTGGCTTTGCGCCGTCCTGTTAACAGATCCAGTCGTTTCCGAAAAGTTTATTTCCATATTTTAAAGCTACAGGAAGTAGTTTTTCGATATAGCAACTGTGATCGAGAGTTTCCTCATCCAAGATCAACAAAGGTATGATACCCTTGGAGCAGGTGTCCAACCACACCATTACTTTTTGTGGGAAATTTCGTATTTTCTGTATGCCACCTCTTTTATCGGCGTCAGCATGATTTACTGCCTACACTCGAGTATTTTGAGCATTGTAGACACCATCAATGTCGAAAAACTTCTCGTCCGAAAAGAGAATTTTCAAGGTGTCTTCTTTTCGGAAATTTATTTGAACCCAGTTTGCAAACTGTTTCTGTTTGATCTTTTGATCATCGGAAAGCGATAGTTCGATTACGATTTTATACGGTTTTAGTTCTAAATCGTTTTTTAATATCCGCCTGACTCTTGTTGCAGAGATATCAAGCTCCATTGTTAGTCTTCGAGCTGATACTCTGGTTTTCCAGCATAAACAGTTTTTTACTTTTCAGATATATGCTTTAGTTCTGATTATACGTGAACTACCAGATGAACTTGATAGTTGAATAGAGCCACATCGTCGAATCATCTGGCATCATCTTTTGATGGTTGTTAAACCAAGACCAACATTTAAGTTAGGATAAATTTTCGTTGGAGCGGGTATGGATGTGGTGTGGGGTGCGGGTGTAGATGTGGGGTGTGGGTGTGTATAATCAAAGTACCAACAACCACAGCCGCACACCCGCACCCCACATCCACACCCACACCCACACCCACACCCACACCCAATTGATCCTAATGCATTTTTGTAACTATTTCATGCGAGGAACAATTCAAAAAAGACACTGAAGACTTTATATAACATTAAAATTTAATAAATTAAGAGAAAATATGACGTGAGTTTTTATGATAAGAAAAAGTTCTATGAAAATATATGGAGAAGCTGATTTCGATTATGAACAACAGATATTAATAAAAGAAAGGTTACAATTAAAATTAAATGAAGATACTTTAGTAGATGAGAGAACTATTAAAAATGATATTGAATTAGTTATCCCCATAATGTGATGAAATTGTCTTTAAATAATGACTATTGAAGTTAAGATATTGTTCAACTATTTGAATAGATCTATTCGTCAAGATACTTTGAACTAAAGAGATAAGAGATGAATTTTTAGTTAAAATTTTGCACAATTCTAAAGATTATATACTTAATTTTTTACAGATAAAAAGTCTATTTCATTACACTGTAAATATAGATATTGATGCTGACTATTTCAATTGATTTTATACTGATTAAAATCAAGGACATCATATCGAAAGATAAAAAGTTCAAATTTCAAGTTAGGTTTTTAAATTATTAAAAATTTTTCAAAAGCATTTTTCGTCTAGTGTGCATTCAGAATTTCATCAAAATGCTTCAAAAAATCATGTTTTTTATCATAGATATTCTTAAACAAGAGCAAAGAAAAGAAGCTATGCCTGGTCAATATGATATACCTCAAAAATTTAAAATATCTAATTTAGAATTTACTTTGTGAAGAGAGTTTTTTAAAGGAAACATTGTTGATGTCAAAGTTTTATTGGAATTGCATGTAAATATCAATGAACAAAACGATGACTCCAAAATAATAACCAATTTACATAGGATAGAACAAATATCTTATTTCATTTCTCTCTTAGATCATATTTATAATCATAAAAAAAAGAAAATTCAAATAAATTTGGAAATGAATTAAAAATTAACAATTTTGATGATGCTTTATTTGAAAAAGTCGAAGAAAATAATATTTATAAAGTTCTACAAATTAATGAAGCAAAAACAAAAGAAAATCATGCATATCTTCATCATGTATTAAATGCCATTATCAAAATTTATTAAAAATGTCAAGATATTTAATCAAGGGTGTGGGGGTGGGTGTGGATGGGTGGAGGTGTGGATGTTTTCAGTTGCATGCACATTCGCATTCACACCTACACCCCAAATATATGAATTGTAAAACTGATGAAGATTCATTGTTGTATAAGAGATGTATTGGAATGACTCATTTTGTATAAGACAGATTATACATATCAAAATAGTTTCTCTCAAAAGTATAGTTGATCTATATCCAAGGAAAATCATCTGGTTGCCAACGATGCAATTTTTGTAAATGAGACTATGAGTACGGAGAAAAAAAATAAGATTTTTTCCAATAGAAATCAAGTCATTGGAGCCATAATGACAACTAGAAATACTGAATTCAGCATATTGAACAGAGCTCAAAGTGTTTTTTTTTAATTCATTCGATCCCGGACAATAAAAGAAAATAAGAAAACTTCTAAAATTATTTGTCTTGAATAGTTGGATACTTTATAAACTTTTTTTTTTGAATAATATTTCTTGTTATCTTCTCTTCTTCTATTTATCAAAAATTAGAATAAAAATATTTAACAGAAAGCTATTCTTTTTAAACTGCAAGTCAGGCAACAAATATAATAGATACTTGAGTGGAACTGGCGTTGAAACGAGATAAGCAAATAATTTAGTACATATTTTATTTAGGTTCATTGATTGTACTGAAACTTTCTGAAAAGATTAATTTTTTAAGTTCATTTATTTATATATTTCAAGCAAAGAAATAAACTTACTCTAAATAACATTTTCTATAGACAAAATATAACATACCTAGTTGTTTGATTTTTTTTACAAAGGTTTCATGAAAATAAAAAAAATATTGATTATGTTTTACGACCCAACCCTGAAAAGTTTCTTAACTGTATATTGAAGAAATATTTCATTTCGGTTGATTTTCACCCGATACATATTAGTTGGAATCAAAGACAGACACGGCTCTTGACAACATTCTAATAATTTGTTTTAGGGATATTATTAAGCGGTCAGTAAAATAAATGAAATGGTCAGGAAAATATATGAAATGATCAGTAAGATAAATGGTCAGTAAAAAATGTATAAATGATCAGTAAAAAGATTAAATGGTCCGTACTTAGATTATCACTCATATAAAAAAAAGATTGGAAAAAATCTGATTTTAATCGATTTTTTTGTGATTAAAAATCAATTAAAATGGGACAGTTTTAACCAGGTTTTTAATCAAACTAGTGATTAAAATAAATTAAATTTATAAATATCCATTTTAACCGATTAAAATTTTTTCATTGACTATTTTACTCAATTTTAGTCAGATTATTCGATTTTTAATCTATTAAAATCGATTAAAATTTTTAAATCGATTTTAATCAATTCTAATAGTTTTTCTTTTTAAATGGATAAGTACCAATTGATATCGAGTCTTGAAGCATGGAATTTATGTCAAAGGTCGATCTAGCATCATATCTACTAATTTTCCGAGGCAAGGAGTCCGAAAAAGCGATCGAACATCTGAGTTTTCAACATAAAGTTTGAGAAAACGCATTTTACCGTCGCCGCCATTAAAATTAATATTTATAAATTTAATTTATTTTAATCACTGGTTTTATTTAAAAAATCGATTAAAATTAGATTTTTTCCAATCTTTTCTTTTATATGAGTGATAGTCTAAGTACTGACCATTTAATCTTTTTACTGATCATTTATATACTTTTTACTGACCATTTATCTTACTGACCATTTCATCTATTTTACTGATCATTTAATATATTTTACTGACCGCTTAAATAGTAGCCTTTGTTTTATGACAACTTTCGAAATGCTTTTTTCAACGGATATTCGTTTCCTCTGTTTTAGAAACGATGTATAATGTCTTTCAACATCATTGTACATTAATATGAATATGAATCAATCCTACTATAATTAATCAAACAATTCATTTAGCAGCAACAATCAATTTAACTTTGAACTTTCGAATCTAAAAAACACTTCAATTCTAATTTTATGTACGTGCAAGTTGTATGTTTAAATTAAGAAGATACCACAAGTAAGTAACAACGACACTCATCTTCGATATTTATACTTTATTATAGTGTATAAACAGATATGAGACTGTACCTATGGTCTGGAGCATAAGTGTTGATTTTTAGAGTCATAAACGCTATGTTTGAGACAAACAACGCAGAAGAAAATTATAAGAGTACGAAAATCACTATAGAGTATAGGATTAGAGAATGTCTGATTCTGCAGAACTCTGTTCACAGCAAAGATTTCTTCTTTTTTTTTAACTGATGGAAAATTTATGGAGTACAACGAATTTAATGAAAATAACAGTATTCACTGAGATAAGAGGAATCGATCTGACCAACATTTGATATTATTTATTGTATACTTAGGGCTGATTGAATAGTATTGTATTATGTTTGAAGAAAATGGTAATCTTCAATAATGAAATTCATTTTGTATGAATTATTAATCTTAAAAAAAATAAAGAATCTTTTATTAAAGTTCATTCATTGAACAAATATATTTCGAATGGTTAATATTTATGTGTAAGATAATGTTAATCAAAGTAAAATACATGAACACATATGAATCATATGATATAAGCAAAACTCGAAATCAAGTTTTCTCACATTTCAAAGTTGAATATCACTCACTTTACGTTGTCCTATATTGAATGATATTTTTAAGCAATCTGTCACATCAGATTGACCAACATCTCTATTATATTATATATAATAAAAAAAAACAACAATGAATGTATCTTCTCATAATAAAGTATCAATTTTTGTTGATATTGATGAACATTCAATAAGAATTTTATCAAGTTATGCATCATTAAAAAATGAATTTCAATTTAAAGCAAATCAATTATGAAAAGATTTTTCCTTTTTGAAATGATGTTCATTGAGAAACATTTAAAATTGCTTAAACTCATGAGATTATCCAATGTCTATCAATTCGACTTTTGGAATTATATTCATTAAGATCTGCAACAAGAAAAAGATTTAGTGTTTTATTGCTTTAACTAATCAAAATAATTATATATATATATAAGTTAATTTGAAGAAAATATAACATTTGATTTTCATGCACTTGATGGTTTTAATTATGAATTTCGTTGTTCAATAGGAAAGTATTTAGCAACAACACAAGAAACAACTTCGAATACAAATTAAAGTAAAAGAATTTTCTCCTAAAGATACCACGAATATAATCAAATGCTAAAATGTAGCAAAAATATTAAAAAGATTAAAACAGAACGATATAATAAATTATTTAGCTAGTAGATTGTTAGATGAAAATATTCGATTTTTAAAAACACACAGTTCAATCTATTAATGAATCAACAATAGTTCAACATGAAATAGATAATGGTGTCATTCATGGAAGAAATAACACACTTTCTAATCACAATAAAATTATCTAGTTTACAGAATTATGTAGAATTAACTCTTGTTTTTGATACATTGTGAATTCAACAAAATTTATTTTTATTTATTAATCATATTCTTCAATTAATTGGAAATTCGTCTGTATCAATAATACATGTTGGTACTGTTTATTCACGTAAACATATCATATTTATTCTTCATTCAGTTATTGTTTCAAGCCTTAGTAAAAATAAATTATTTACTGATGCTAAAAAACTTGCAAATATAATCAAATATTATAGAACATGATAATTAATATCAAATAATATAAATTATTTTCCAATATCAATAAATGATTTACATGTTTCAACAAATTCATAATCATTTAATTCAAGTATAAATTCTATGATATTATCAACAAATATATTTCAATCATCATCATCAAATATTCAATAGAGTGTGAATGTCAGTGTAGAATAGAAAGGTTACCTATACTCACACCCTATCGGAACAAAATATGTAAAGCAACAGGCAACGCTATCATCCTATTACATCTTAATGCTTTTTTTTTCTGTTACTTTTCGGCACCATTCCAGCACCTTCTGCTCCTTCACGACCTGTTCAACATCTTCAGCATCCTTGGCACCTTGTAAAGAAATTTGGTGCTGAAGTCCAGCACTTATTCTCTTACATAGTCTTCACTAAAATTATTCATTGTGACAGTTGCGGGTCATAAGATTTGCTAATATTCTAAAATATAAATATGGCAAAAGTGTATTTTTTACATCACTCATAAACACTGATACAGAGTTAATTACAAACTGTAATGAGTTTGTCGCTTTATACAATTTTATGTGATCGACTACATATAGATATCCATGAAAGTTCTGTCGTACTTATCGAAGCAACATTAAATCGATCATCAACCAAAGAAAAACTGGCTGAGCTCTTGTTTGAAATACTTCATGTCGAAAGTAAGACTGACAAAAACTGATTTTGTCAAGAGAAGAAAAACTGCTTTTGGTTTAGATTTATATTTATCTAATCAATTGAAACTTGTTCCTGAAGTTCTTGATATGGAAACTGTGTTGGTGCTATAATCTGAGCATGCTCTGGCATATACAGTTACAATTTTTGAACCATTGCAATCTCTTCGTTTAAATGAAGTGAATATTTAATCTTTTTAGCATATAGTTTACCACAAGCTTAATGTCATTTACCGTTTGCTTCTGATGATATTACTTCATCATTGATAAAACAAATCAGTGCACGTGGCTATTTATTCAATTTTTCG